ATAGTTCTGAATGTAACGAAAACTAGGTGTTTAGTCATCATCGACTGTTAAATTTTAAGCATATAAATGTATAATGGTTGAATAAGTTATAAAGATTGTTGTGTTTAACCACATACTGACTATTTAAGTGAAAATATATTACAAAAGTAAAGAGTATTGGACAGTTGCTTGAGATTATCCGTCATCAGTACTTATATATCCAAGAATTTACGCGGTTTAAAACCTAGAAACCTTAAAATTTACAAGTATATGTCAAAGAAAAGTTGTTTTAAAGAAATATATCAAATCATTTTTGTATTGGTTACTTGAATCTTCTCATCAATGTTTAAGACAGCAAATGATCAGTCTCTTAATGATATATGTGCATCCTGTACGGATTACCTCGATATTGTCTTTAGTCACAAGATTTATGAACTGAGATAATAGTGGATAGGAGTGGAATCTAGGACGTGAGTTTCGTCCTACATGGGACTCATTAGTTGGGCGTATCTGTGTCCTTTTTGCACAAGCTAGTGGCTATCTGAACTCAGTAACTAACTGGACAACGCAATGGCGTTTGAAAAGAACGATACTGGGTTTAAGTCTCAGAATTAACATCAACTCAGGGATGGAGATACATACAACTGCAAACGTATCCCAAATAAGACGAAACGCACGTATTGGTTTCCACTGTTAGCCACCATGCATCTCTACTTATAAATATATCGATTGGTATTAAATTAAGGTGTTATCGACGAACAAACGATCAAATCATTAACAATGTTTACTACAGTGAAGAAAAAGAATAAGAAATGATTCTAAGAAATTAAAAATTTCTCACAATATGTCAAAAATCAATTAAGTAAATGAATTTACTTTGGCCCATGCATAATCCATTGGAACATTACGAGGTGGATGATCAGCTTTAGGGATTAACTGACCACTTCTTACAAGTTCATCAAAAACACGTCTACAATTAATCAATGTAACATGAAATTCAACTTTATTAGTATAGAAACTTAGATATGTAAAACAAAAGTTAAGTCATTCACTTGATATTAGTTGTTTAAATTAATGGCAATCTTAAAAATCAATCGGAAGATTCAAACAATACCAAGTGAATTCAAACTTAATCCCATTACACAAAAAAGTGGCTATCAGGACTCAGTAGCTAAGTGGATAACGCGATGCTGTTTGAAGCGAACAGTATTGGGTTCGAGTTCTAGAGTGAAAATCCGTTTCGTCCTATTCGGGACTCGTCAGCTGGATGTACCTGTATACTGGATTTGATGTTCACTCTGAGACTCGAAACCAGTACCATTCACTTCAAGCACCATCGCGTTATCTACTTAGCTACTGAGTCCTGATAGCCACCTGCTTGTGCAATGGGGTACTGGGTTCGAGTCTTAGAGTGAACATCAACTCTGAAATTCAGGTACATCCAGTTGGCAAGTCCCAAATAAGACTAAACGCGCGTCAAACTGGATTCCACTGCTAGCCACTATCCACTTTTGCTTATATCTGATGGTTAATTCACTCCAAGAATAATTCACATTGATATTATTCTAATTGAGAAACAGTGTACTTAATATGTACAATATAACACACAGATACGACGATGATGGTATGAAGTAAAACATTAAAAATTTACAGATAATACTTGATTATTATGAGATTACTCAAAATATTTGATACTTGTCTTTATAAAGTTGAGAATGGAACCCTGAGTCACTGTTACCTTAGTTTCATAAACTGTAGGTGTGTATGTGTGTTATTTTTATAATTTCTTGGAATATGTGATATTTCAGACAAACAATCAATCAATACAGGTTAAGAGTTAGCTGATTATTATAATTGAGTATGTTTACTGTCAAACTCAAATGCTCTGGTACGGCCGAGGATGAGGAGAGTTATCTCTTTCTCTCCAAATCCTTTAATATGGCTACGCGTATATAGCAACTCTCAGAAAAGTCCTACTCACTGCATTCTTGTAACAAGGATATTGTTTACGAAATTTAGAGGACAGAAAGCGAATGCCCGACGCCTAAACTAGGTTGGTATGTACAAAGGATTTAATTAAGGGAGTTGGAAAACCCTGGTTCAAAACTAATGGTGCATATGGCATATGAAACTATTCTTCGTCGCCAACTATCATGGGACCGCATTTTATAAAAACGCTCTACTACCTTGTAGATTAGATCTCCAAGTCAAAAGATAGGGGAAGGGCTCCTTAAATAAAACGTCTGCTTCGGTTTCGGCAACCAGACAATATTCCAACCCACACATAAATTTAATTATAACCACTTTGTGTGGTTAGTACCCTTTTGTAGCAATGTTTATGTGCTTAAATAAATAAATGAATAATGTTTACTGACACTTTTTGATTAACAACCAACACATATATACACATAAAAGTATATAAATAGTTTTCAATCATCGATCGATCTCAGTCGCATAATTATTGAAAGCCAGAAAGCACTGAATACTTGTTTCGTCCTAGTACACGACCCCTTATGAGTGTATAGTCATGAGCTCACAAACTATCGAAGTCAAGGCCTTTCTAGTTTTCATAGCTTAAAATTTTTAAAGTTTAGAATCTTTGCATAAACGTTTAAACGTATACTATTGCTTAGTGTCCCATAATTTTTAATAGTAATAACCTATAAATGAAAAATCATTTAATCACTACTACATAGTTAAATTCATATGGTGTTGTTAACTTGTATCTTAAGATTGTTATTTAGGACTGCAATTGATCAGTTTCTTATTGGTATATGTGCATCCTGTGCGGATTGCCTCGATATTATCTGAAGTCACAAACTTTATAAGTAAACATGGATAGTGGCTAGCAGTGGAATCCAGGATTCACGCCACTTCGTTCTATTTCGGACTCGTCAGTTGGATGTACCTGCATCTCAGAGTTGATGTTCACTCTAGGACTTAAACCCAGTACCATTCGCTTCAAACACTATCGCGTTATCCACTTACCTACTGAGTCCTGATAGCCACCTGCTTGTGCAGTGGGGTACTGGGTTCGAGTCCCAGAGTGAACATCAACTCTGTGGTGCAGGTACATCCAGCTGATGAGTCCCAGACAGGACGAAACGCGTGTCCTAGACTGAAGTGCCAGCCACTAATACATAATATTTCATTTTTCAATCATTTCAAATGTCGGCAAAACTCTTCTCATTTTTTATAGTGAAAGCGTGAGTCAATTGAAGCTAGACCACTATGGAAAACCTGGAAGCACTGGAAGGCCTTTTCGTCCTATTATGGGACTCCTCAGCAGTGAGCATCCACAATCCCGCACTCGCGAGATTCGAACCCAGGACCTACCAGTCTCGAGCCAGAGCACTTAACCGATAGACCACTGAGCTGGCATCCAACGGTGTTAATGTCTAACTTTAACTGATCCACGAAGTTGAGCAACCATTCACCAATTGTCGTCAGTGAGTTCCTATCTCACAACAGACGTGGTTTTGAACTCCACTGGTCACTGCTTCTCACTTTTCTTCTTATTTTCTTAATCAAAATGACCAATACAACTATGATCATATAAATTATGTTGGTACATTGATCTAATTAACAAATACAAATAGTATAGATTATAGCATTTCGATAGATTGTATTATATCAAACAATACATAGTTATATCAATTAAAAACAACTAAATTATTATTTTATATTGAACCATTATTATGTTCTTTTTTGTTTTATATTATTCACCTCAATAATTCTGGTTAGATTTAATGTTCAATAAAGTTTGACATTAAAAATCTAATTTCAACTAGACAATAATAATAATTAGTGAAAACCCGATGATTATTGAATAAGTATTTGGCTATAATATATTATCAGAAGGGGTTTTTTGTGGAGATTTAGTATTTTCATAGTTGAAAGCGTGAGTCAATTGAAGTTAGACCATCAGGAAAAACCTTGAAGCACTGGATGGCCGTTTTGTCCAGTGGAGTTCAAACCACGACTGTTGTGAGATAGGAACTCAATGAAGACAATTGGTGAATGGTTGGTCAACTTCGTGGATTAGTTAGAGTTAGACATAAACACCATCGGATGCCTGCTTAGTGGTTTATCGGTTAAGTGCTCTGGAGCGAGATCGATACGTCCTAGTTCGAATCTCACGAGGTAGGGTCGTGGATGCGTACTGTTGAGTTTCACAATAGGAAGACACGGCCGTCCAGTGCTCCTAGGTTTTTTATGGTGGTCTAACTTCAATTGACTCACGCTTTCAATTATGATAATATATTAGCGACTTAATAGTATGAAATCAATATTTGTTCAAAAATTATTAATCCGACAGCATTCTTAAGTTTAATGAAGTCTGCTAAGAATTGAAATATTGAATAATCCACGTTTAGAATTAACTTCAACTGATAGAATCATATAAAATGATAATCATACCTACTATACTTGTATATAGTAGGATAATTGTGTTATGTTCAAAACACGACTGAACAACAAGATACATTTTTTAATTTTAAAAAAATTCTTTTTATTTTAAGCATTTACCCCGTCAGAGCGGTTGATATTATTAAATTAACGAGAAAAACTTCAAAGCTGAATGATTTCAACTGCTGAAATTTCATACAAATATAATCTGATATTTAATATACTTATCAATTGAGATATATTGTCCAATTTTTGTAAAATTAATTATCAGAGAGAGTTTTGTGGAGATTCTTAATAATTTTTATAGTTGAATTCATGAGTCAATTGAAGCTAGACCACTATGGAAAATCTGGAAGCAATGGACGGCCGTTTCGTTCTATTGTGGGACTCCTTATCAGTGCGCATCTGGCTCAATGTTCTAGTGGTTAAGCGTTCTGACGTGAGACTGGTAGGTCCTGGGTTCGAACCTTGCGAGGCGGGATCGTGAATGTGCGCTGCTTAGGAGTCCCACAATAGGACGAAACGGCCGTCCGGTGCTTCCAGGTTTTCCGTAGTGGTCTAGCTTTAATTGACTCTTGATTTCAACTTGTTATTTTCTTTGTTTGTTTTTTTTTCTGTCCTAGAAATAATGAAATTCATAAATGGCAATAAATAAACAGGTTGGTTAAAGATAAGAAGAGAAAGAAACAAATAACAAGCAAATAAACTAGGAATTCAATCTAACCTAATCAAGAGATCTAGTTCATCAAATGATTCTGGAACATGTATACCAACACTAGCTAATGCATGATTTTTCGCTGTGGCTGTTTCTTGTAGAGAGTTAGCACATGCGCCGGCATGACCGAATTGGATTGACCCACCAGTAATATTATTACTGTCTGTATTATTATTTGAATTAGCTGCAGAGCTTAATAATTCACCACATGATCCTATACACCAGGCTACAATTGGTTTTTTTATTTTGCCCGACTTTACTGCTTCAATTATTGCATACTCTTCTACACCACCAACCTATGGTAGAGAAAAGAAAGTACAAAATACTAATGATAATAATAATAGTAATGATAATAATAATAATGGCCAATTCATAACTCAAGATCATCTCAGGTGCTGTAAGAAAGTGATTATCACTTCCCGGCTCCCCACATTGTGGAAGGATATTTCTCCTTCAGGGACTTGAAAAAGAAGCTGGATTAGTAGTGGTGATCATAGGGACCTGTGAGAAAGATTACAGAGAACATGGAATAAGCGATCGAGGTCGGTCACCCACTAACTTTTCATGGCAAGTTTTAGATGTGTTAGCTCTACACTTCAAAACTCCTTACTATCGGAATTGGAAAACCATAGAACAAGATGAGGTGTGACATTTTTGGGTCAACTGTTTCTATCCTCTTTCTCTATGCATATGCTGGTTGTCCGGGGAAAAGAACTTACTGTTGTCATACTTCTTTACAGTTCGCAGTACGACTTCGACCTCGGACCTTAAATTGCAGCTTTTTATCTTTCCCCAACAGACCTCCATGGCATAATGGGACCTAAAAGAACGTGCTCCAGCCACTATAGCTCCGTTAAGTCATCACGATAGGCAATCCTGATCCGGGTATGAATTTTCAACTTAATTTGTAAGGTTTAATATATCTTGTTGATATTTTGGATTGAATTCGCCTCAATCTTTTTTAGAATATGTGCGTCGTGTACGGATCACCTTGATATAGTGATTGTGATACAAGTTTTATGGAATGCATCAATACTAGCTGGCAGTGGGCTGGTCAAAATCCAGCCGCCAATATTAACAACGGGACACCTCAAGCATTTACAAACTGAATTAAAAATTTACACCCCTTGCACAAGTGAATGGTTACCTAGATGCAGTAGCTCAGTGGATAACACATCCGGTACTCGGTTCAAGTCCCGGAGTGAAGATCAACTTTGGGATGTAGATACATTCAGATGATGAGTCCCAAACAGAACGTAAAAAATATATTGGATTTTAGTGCTAGCTATAAACCACCATAATAATAATAGTGATAACAATAATAATAATAACATTGACATTGTGTTAATTTCTCGGTGGTAGTTGTTACGAATCGGCGCCAGATGAGCCAAGTTATCTAACATAGCTCAAACCAATGATCAATGACTGATAGCATATGAAAGAAAGACTAACAAGTATCTATTCAATTTTATCATTCTTATTAACACATCTATACAATAATTATGATGAAACTGAATGAGCCCCAGTTAAAATAGCAAAACAAGTATACCTCGTTTCAAATGAATTTATTTTATTTTTAAAAGATTGTCTTTTCCTATTGCTAACGCTAAGGACTGCAATTGATCAGTCCCTATTGACAAACGTGCATTCTGAGCGAAATCCACTAATATTACCTTTTTACAAATTTTTATCACAGTTGGATAATGACTAACCATCCAGAATCCGGAACGTTTCGTTCGATAGATGACTTGTCATCTGAATGAAAAAGCATCCCAGTGTTGATGTTCATACAGAGAAGTTCAACACAAGGATTTCGGCATACCCAGATGGCAACACTAGGGTTCAGGCACACCCAGCTGACGAATCCTCAATAGGACGAAACTTCCTGGGTTCCACTGTCAACTACTATCCAAATTTAACGAACCTTTTATTTTTTTCTAGAAAACAATTTGTTAAATGTTCACTTTCATACTTTCTACTTACTTCACCCAAGACAACAATCATACCGATTTCTGGATTATTTTCATAACGTAGAATATGATCAATAAATGTTGAACCAGGAAAACGATCACCACCAATCGCGACACCTTCATACACACCATCAGAATTCATTGAAATAATATTATTCAATTCATTGGACATTCCACCAGAACGTGATACATAAGCAACACTGAAAGAAAGCAAATAAATGAATAAATGACTGAGAAGAGACTTGCTGTATCATCTACTTTGATATACGGAAAAATTCAACGCAAATATACACACACCATCAAGTTTGATCAATTTGCCAACCACCCTTTACCTATCATAATTATCTCTAGGAATCATTCATATACAGTCGGATGAGTATTGGCTTGAAAAGAATATAAAACCGGAAACTGTGCACTTTAAAAGTTTGAACAATTCTGATCAGAAATCTGTGCACAAAAGTAATGTTTAATCTTACGTTCGAATGTAGTTTAATCTCTCCAATCCTCATTTAATTTCTTTTACTTCACAAACAGTTGATCTTACTATCTAAATGGCTCTTTTGTCTGTATACCATTCTCTCTGTTTTCATCTAATGGACACCTATGTTCAATGGAAATAATCAAACGACTAAGCTAAAACTCAACATGATACGTTCAGTCAATCAGATATATGACTCAAAAGATAAGCTCACACTATTGACCAAGATTTGGATTGCTTTTCTTAGGAACGAGACAAACGCGATTAGTTGAAAATATGCACCAATGTATGAATATATGGATGAGTGGACATGTATCTTTTGATTCAGTTTCTGTTAATAAAGCTTCCTTCTCACTCAAGTGGCCACTCTGACCTGCATATACAGAAATTGTGTATCAGCATCAGGATCAGACATCGTGGAACGTGACACTACATTATGGGTAAGACATGAAGAATGAATAGGTCGGAGTTTTCAATCAACCACATAATACATCACAATTTAGATAGAATAAGGTAAGAGGATCTTTTTACCGAAAGTATTGAGCTATTAAAACAAATATGAATGTCAACACTCACCTTCCAGGTCGATAAAGTTTTGATGCCAGTATGTTATCTGTCATTCCGCCTGTATTACCGATTTTGAAGCAGCCAGATTTCAAGCCACCTACCTATAGAGAACATGGAAAGAAATGCAGATAAGAAGGTTGAATAGATGGTATATATAGATAACATCAACCAACTAATCAATCAACTAACAAACGAATATAGTGAAAAACTGTTTTCGTAGCTAACATTACGGACTGACTTTAGCCAGATAAATAATGAAAACCAGGAATTCCGGAACAACTGTTTCGTCGTCATAAGTCCACGTACACCACCCACCAAGAATCTAACCATACAGTAACTTGATTAATAGAAATTAACGAACATTAGGGACTATCTAGGCACTAAGTAGTTTACTAGTTAGCGAACAATTAATGTAAATATCTGAGTCTTATGGAAGGTTAGCATCCACCTGGGGGGCCCAGCAGTAACATCTTAAACTGTAAATTTGTTTCGAAACCTACAGGGAATATCAGCTCCCATAAGATCTCAAATATTACCTCCTGACGAGTGTCAACCAACATGATACCAAGATCGAGAATTTTCTACCGACTAGTTTCAGCCATTTAACATCAAAACATTGATACCATGATATCGAACTATTTATACTGGATCCTATACTGCAACTTTGGAAACACTAACTAATGTAACTCATGCAATAGTCACAAAGAGACAGATGTATTCACCCTTTATCTTCTCCCAAGTTCTGAACTTCAACGTTATTGAATAGTTTTTCTAGACCTCTTCTTCAATAATAATAAAAATAATGATTTATTTGTCATGCTACAGTGACTCAGTGTAAGCCAATTGTCAACAAAATAAATAAATCAACAAATCAAATTCACATAAGTTTAGGTAGCAAAAAAGAACAAAGTAATAATATTCAGTACAATCAAAAATCAGGTCTGATCAGGTCACAATCATGTTACCCCGGTAAACGTGATTTTTGTGAGACATATTTGTATTTGTAAATGGATGTCATTAATTTTCCACACTATCACTGATACTAGGTTTATTTCAACCATTTTGCTTATTCCCCTTGTTAATTTCATCCCGTCATCTTAACGGAATACGTTACAACATGGGTTGACGGACATGAGTACCAGACTCTAGGATAATCATGACTGACTGACAGAAAAATCGATCGACAGAATTTAATCAGCACTAATGACTAGGTAAAAATAACACTGAGTACTTACTGAACAATCAGTCAGCACAATAAATAACTCTGGATAAAAGTCCCTAACGTTAGCAAAAATTATATCTACATTACATTCTGTATGAATGCAATTCTTACAGAATATACATAGATATACAACGCTTTTTTTTTCAGTATAGCTAACGGTACTAGGTTCAAGTCTCATAGTGGACATTAACTCAAGAATGAGGATACATGCAACTGCAAACGAGTCCCAAATAGAATGAAACGTGCGTCCTGCGTCCCATTGCTATCTACCTTCTATCTCTACTTTTAACGACCAAATTAAATATAAAGAACAATACTCCTTCTAGGGATTTTGTAGATTTATACCTTTTTATCTCTTATCGATTACTGAATGAGATTCACTTTCAGTATGGTATTATTTCTGAATTGATTAATTGACATTCTGTATTGATAATAATTTAAGGCCAAGCAATTTAGAGGTGTACTATGCGTTATGCTTTTGTTTGTTTAGAGAAAATCACACAATCACTAATCAAATACTTTTCTTGACAGGAATGTGTGTAGAATGTGAAATATTTATATCGAAAGAGAGAGAGTGTTAAGTGAATGTTGGTGATTAGTCATAGAATAAAAGTTTATTAATTGAACGGTTTCAATCTCAAAGGAGCTATGGATATAAGTTTCTTGCAAGTTAATAAGAAATGAGTTGCCTGAAATCTTGGGAGTGACTGATGCTTATCATGAAGCTCAAACCTGCGCAAGACGGTATGCAAGTAAGAAACGTTACCATTGAGCTATTTTAGTATAATTGATGAGTTTCAGCTACCGCAAAAACCACGTTAGACAGAGCTTCAAAATGCCTTATGAAATCAAATGCAAGACGAACTTGATATCCAGAAGATACAAGTGTTCATTAACAGTTGTCTACGCAAGATTGACTATGAGAAGGCGTTTGACAGCGTGGACAGGAGAACATTATGGAAACTTCTTCGACACTATGGAGTTCCTCAAAAGATTGTCAACATTATCCAAAACTCATACGATGGACTACAGTGCAAAGTGGTGCATGGAGGACAGCTGACAGATGCATTTCCAGTAAGGACCGGAGTCAGACAAGGCTGTCTACTCTCCCCATTCCTCTTCCTTCTAGTGATTGAATGGATTATGAAGAATTCGACATCTGAAGGGAAATACGGAATACAATGGACAGCTCAGAATCAATTAGATGATTTGGACTTCGCAGATGACCTAGCCCTCCTCTCTCATACACACGAACAAATGCAGATGAAGACAGCAAATGTAGCAGCAGCCTCCGCATCGATAGGCCTCCACATTCACAAAGGAAAAAGCAAGATTCTCAAATGCAACACGGAGAACACCAACCCAATCACACTTGATGGCGAAACTCTGAAAGAGGTGGAAACATTCACGTACCTGGGGAGCATCGCTAATAAACAAGGGGGATCGGATGCAGATGTAAAGTCGAGGATTGGCAAAGCAAGGGCAGCATTTCTACAATTGAAGAACATATGGAACTCAAAACAACTCACAACCAATTTCAAGGTGAGAATCTTTAATACGAACGTCAAGACAGTCCTACTGTATGGAGCTGAAACGTGGAGAACTACTACGACCATCATCAGGAAGGTACAAGTATTTATAAACAATTGTCTACGCAAAATACTCAACATCCACTGGCCGGATACTATCAGCAATAGCGTTTTATGGGAGAGGACAAATCAGCTTCCAACTCAAGAGGAAATTAGGAAAAGACGTTGGAAGTGGATCGGACATACATTGAGGAAATCACCAATGTGCATCACGACTCAATCCCTAACTTGGAATCCGGAAGGGAAGTGGAAGAGAGGAAGGCCAAAGAACACACTACGCCGGGAAATAGAAGCCGATATGAAAAGGATGAATAGCAACTGGAAAGAACTGGAAAGGAAGGCTCAGGACAGAGTTGGATGGAGAATGCTGGTGAGCGGCCTATGCTCCTCCACAAGGGGTAACAGGCGTAAGTAAGTAAGTAAGTAAGTAAGTGCGCAAGATACTTCGGATCCGATGGCCAGACACTATCAGTAACAAGTTACTGTGGGAGACAACAAATCAGATTCCAGCGGAGGAAGAAATCAGGAAGAAGCGCTGGAAGTGGATAGGGCACACTTTGAGGAAATCACCCGATTGCATCACAAGACAAGCCCTCACATGGAATTCTGAAGGTCAAAGGAGAAGAGGAAGACCAAAGAACACATTACGCCGAGAAATAGAGACAGACATGAGAAGAATGAACAAGAACTGGATAGAATTAGAAAAGAAGGCCCAGGATAGAGTGGGTTGGAGAATGCTGGTCGGCGGCCTATGCTCCATTGGGAGTAACAGGCGAAAGTAAGTAAGTAAGTAAGACGAACTTGAGCACTGTTACAGGTATGACCACAGTGTACCAAGGAAAATTGCCTGAGGTCGGTCACATACGGTTCTTTTATGAACAGTTTTTGATGCCCCGAAATACCAAATGAACTACTTCGCCCATCATTATTATTTCACTACCATACACTAATTTCTGTTCGTTATTGTTCTCCTTTTTCTCATACGCACTTTACATTCTCTATCACTTTTCATTAACATTGTTATTAATATGGCGCATATGTATTTGGTGTCCATTTGTGCCAACGAAAGTTTACTGGTTTGTTGATTCTTGATCTAGATTGAATTTTATTTATCTACATTAACAATTAAGAAAGCAATAGTTCTGAAATAGTAGAAAAATATTATAATTTTAGCTCAGGAGATTAATTCTGTTGGAATTGAGTTCTGTGGGTTGGACGGTTCAATTGTAAAACTATTTCATTGTTGTTCTAGACAAAATTATCACGCATAAGCTTCAGACAGAAGTGTACCATGAAAATTTCTTTACAAATTATTAACAGATTATTATGTCATTACTGAATATAATTGATCATTTTCGATTTATGCTCTATTATTGATGTGTAGTAGTGGAAGTAAAATATGGTTGATAGAGTGTGGACAAACAACCAAAGCCCACAGAGTAGTACATATGTGATTACCCTTCCTGTTATTGATTTCTACTCGGGACTCAATGAGTGTAACAGTGTTGATTAAAGTATTATCTAGCATTTTCTCTGGCTCTCTGTTCTGGGTAGTGAATCCTGGTCTGATATATGACATGACTAATCTTATTACCGTATTTTAATGAGTGAGAGAGAGAATATATTTCAAACGATCTGTTATATCAGTTATTGTCTGCATATTTATTTTAATTGTCTTTCTCCTTTAAATTGATCTTCAGCCACGGAGTTGTTTATGATTTTTCGAACTAATTAACTAACTAGAAGTATTTCATTTTGTTTATTGATTGCTGATTGATTTCCATTCCAAGCTATGCAAAAATTGTTTGTGCTTTGTGTTACCTCTGTCCAATATTTTAACGTTTTCCCAATTGGACATGTGTTAACAGTAACAACTAATCAAATTCAAGGTACAGAAATTTGATAGGTCACTTCTATCTGAAGTTTATGTTGATAATGCTATTTAGAGAGACAATGTGAAAGCTTTACAGTTAGATTATTTATGAAATCATGAACCGATCTAATTTAGGCAACCAGTGAAAACCTGGAAACAATAGACGGCTGTTTTGTAGTAATAGACTCCTCAGCAATGTTCACACATATTAGCCCAAACACATGAATCGAAATCAGGATCTTAGGTCTTGCACGGGAACATTTAATGTTCAGACCAATGAGCGGGAATCCAATAGAGTTAATATCCAACTTCAATCAATCCACGATAATGAACGATCATCCTCCACTGTCTTCAGTAGGTAACTGCCGAACAAGTGACACGGTTATTCAGTTAAGAGAATTCAATTTCCATAAAACAATAGTTCATTTACTGTAAGTTTATCCAAATAAAAAAGATAAACAGTGAGTAAACCTATATACAATAGTAACACTGTCATCAAAAAGAAATTAAGCTTCTAAGCATGTAATGAACAACATAGAATGAAATGACGACAAAGCTTCAAATTTAGACAATTATCTAAACGGTTTTACAGTTTTAAAGAGATTGTAAAACTAATGTTCAATTTAAAAAATGCCTCTAAATTCGTACGTACGTACATCAGTTCGAGTTGCCATACCACAATAGCACAGAGATCCAGTTGTTGATTCAAATCCCATAGTGGTAGAAGCAGTAAGAGTATAAACAGTAATCGGAAAGATTAGGGTTTGAAGATGTTATTCAAGGAGTATAATACAGTGAAATAAATTTGAAGAGAGAAAAAGCATAGTGACATGAAGAATTCAGAAGACTATAATTCGGTAGAACACAAAGAGTGGATGCACCTTCTCCATTGCAAACGATTTTGAGCCATGTCATTCAAGGTCTCTAACCATCGATTGTTATCATCTAGCTAATCCCGACCAGGTAGCAACAAATTAATTTTATTGACATTAGAAAAAATAATTTATAAAACATATACAAAATAAAAACTACCCATATCATAGACAAAAAGTAACATATAGGACGATTAAAAAAACGAACTCACGGTTGCTGGACCAATCAATAGAATATTTCTTTCTCTGGATCGTTGTATTAAACGACGTGTCATATTTTCTGGTATACCTTCAGCTATAATAGCGATACATTTGATCTGTGCCTCGTTTACCGGTAAACCATTATTATGATTGATAGATGTATCACTGTGTTCATTCAATATTCCATTCTCTTTATAATTAGATGACAATATACAGTTCACTTCCATAGCTTCCATACATATATCATAAGCAACTCGTAATGAAGCGAAATTCACTAATATACGTGCATCTGGATGCTTGTGCATTGCATTCAACATATACTTATAAACTGGTAGAAATAATTCTTTTGCACCCCAATAAAATGTCAACTGATGATCATCACTATTGTGTTAAGAATAAAATGAGAAAAATAAAACATACAACTTAATAATTATAAGCAGAGATGGATGATGACGAGGATTTCGTCCCACTCGAGACTTGTCTCCAACTAGATCCACCTGCATCTCGGAGATGATGTTCACTTCGGGACTCGAACCATCTACCTTTGTTTAGAATCGTTATGACTTAATAGGAATATCGATGCAATCCGTACAGGATGCAGATATGCCAAAAGAGATTAATCAATTTCAGTCTTCAACATCAATCGGAAGATTTGAACGAATAATACAAATGAATATGATTTAATTGACTATTACAGGTTATTTTGTAATATGTATTTCTTATTTAAATGATGTAAACTTGTTAAAATCCCAAGTTATCTAATTTTGTGAATAAGCGTTAATTTTTTCCTGCTAAGATGACAGTAGGTACAATTTTCGTAATTCGTAGTGTCGTACGACTGGAAAATAAGTCATGAAATCTATTTACTGGACCATCTTTCTTCATTCGGTAGGTGTCGATCACCACTTAGAAATAGACAAAACCTCGGTCCCTCGTCAAGTTCTGACCGATCTACATAAAGGACCAAGATTAGGGCTCCTTTACATAATGAAAGCTATCAGGACAAGTTATAGACAACAGAAGAGGTGTCGACCATGGTTTACAAATGGGTGAAACTGCATATCACAAATCTCTACCATCTGATTCCATGTTTATTTCTGCCCTGTCACATTCTTAATTTGCTTATTCATCTTTCTCAGTTCATATGAATTAATTATCATATAGTTACCGTAATAACATCGCCCTTATTGCATATTTTATTCATATAAATGATATTATTACAGTAACTATTATTATCTTTGCTATTGTGCATAGTAATCACAATTTACTTTATCCTATTAATTCTAGTTCAATATCTTACGATAAGTTTTCCTACCCATGCTTTTAAATAACCTTTCAAACTTACAAATGATACATTTTGTAACTCATGCAAACGTTCACTATTTTAAACCTACAACATTGTCTAGTTCAAATTCATTTTTGCATACTACATAGTGGCCATTGCAATCCAATAATTATGGCAAAGTATGGTAGAGCGATAAGCTGAAAATAACCCCGATGAATTTTCATTCAGTTTGTAACTAATCAGAAAACAGCTGTGGTACTACCCGGGTGCCGACCGGGGCAGATGGTTTTCTTGGAGGGTCACACCCGAAGCCTTCGACCTAAAGGTCTGATCTGCAGAGCAGTGGAGCAACTTTGGAAGATGCAGTTCTATGGTAGCCGATGATCAACAATTGGTTCGTACGCCATTTGTTTTGGAATCAGGGTTTCCCAACTCCCCTAGGTGTATACTCCATATCCGCCCACCCGGTTAAGGCGTTGGACATCCGCTTTTCGTTCTCTCTAGTTCGCAAACAACACCCCCGCCGAGAGAAGGCAATGAGAAGAACTTTCCTGTCAGAGGTTGTATACTCGTGACCATGTGAAAACATTTGGAGAAAAAGAGCGGACTCTCCCCACTCTCGACCGTACCAGAGCATCTAGGGGCAAAATTTAGTGTCATCAGGTATAGGTTTTTTTCCAGAGAATTAAGGGTTTAGCGTTAAGATTTAGGAAACGTATGTTTACATGTTGTATACAATTAAAAAACATAGAATTAAACATTCGATTCGTTTATTACTATCATTTTTACTCTATGATTGAGCCTTACCTGAAAGGATAAATCAGAGCTGCTACACTTGGACTATCACGGCCGGAAGCATAATCAAAATCTAACATAGACTGAACAGCTTTAACTTGTAAACCCCATATTAAACACTTTGTTTTCACTGTGAAAAGTGGTTCTTCATAAATAGTTTCATGATTATTATCAGAAGTAGCAGTAGTAGCCGTAGTAGTGATAGTAGAAGAGAATTCAGAAACCTTGAGAGTTTGATTGGTCACCATTGGCGTTGATTTGTCTGAATTCTTGAAATACAATTTACAAAAAAAAGGAATTAAAATTAACCGATTGCAACAGTAAAATGTAAGTGTTCAAGCGGTACATAACTAGATTAGTTGAATCAGCATGATAATTGAACAAAGCAGTGACTTAGAGTACTTTTAACATGTTGAGTAGTGAGCAAGTTAAACAAATGTTTTACCAACTTCAAGTTGGATAGTCCTCACCTACTGATACAATGAGCGTTTCATGTGACAAATATATAAGGATTTGAAATGAGTAAGGATGACAGCGCATCCAACAAAAAACTCAGTTTACTTAATTCATTAAAATCATGAATCGATATAATTTAGACGACCAGTGAGAACCTGGAAACACTGGACAGCAATTTCACCTAAGTATGGAACTTCTTAACGGTGATCTTCCACTATCCCTTACATGAGAATCAAACCCAGCACCTTTAGTATCGCGTACAAACGCCCAACCTCTAGACCATTGAGCAGGCACCCAACGGAGTTAATATCTAGATTCAATCAATCCATCAAACCGTCTTCCATTGTCTTCGGTGGGTTAGTGTCTCATACCCGACATGGATTTGCTTCACTGGTCATGGCTTCTCACAAGAACTCAAGGAATTTCTTCTCGAAGCAACCTGGTCACTAAAGAGCATATTGTAATTGTCAGTACAGGGTTGTGGGGATTGTTGAGTTCCATCGAAAACAGCGATTTAGACGTTAAGTGTTCGTGCATGAGACCGGAGGTCATCGATTCAATTCCAAATTCGTAGATACACACTCCCACACTAGGACGAAACAGTTGTCCAGTTTCTCCAGGTTTTCAATGGTTGTCTGACTTATATCAATTGATGATTTCAATGAAAATCAACGATCTTCACAACCTACACTGACAGTTATTTTATTCAACTGACTTGCACAGAGATATTATATATATATATATATATATATATATATATATATATAATTTGACCAATGAGACTCTATTGACTCACTACACCTTACATGCAAAATAGTGTGGCTCAGAGTAGAATTCACAAACCTGTATTTGTTAAGTGAGATGAATATGGATGTAAACTATTCCTAGAATTCTCTAAATTCTCCAAAAACCTATTTGTTACTCAAGATCTATTACTGCCTAAAGACGAATATCATGAAGGTCTTGGTGGTAAATTATCTGACAGTTGTGAAATCGACAAACGTCTGTAAGTGTATACTGATGAAAGATTCCAGTAAAATAGAAGATAACACAGGTTGCTGTTTTCTAAAAGTTGATTGTCAATGCTTTGTCAACAACAATCTTAAATAAAAATTTATTTTAAATAATGAATCAGTGAAAAGCATCGCAGAGCTTAACATATACTTATATTAGTTGAAATCGACGCGTCATCTCAGCACAGAAAGATGAAATCATTAAGACAAATCCCAGAGTATTAGTAGTATCAGTGGTAGTATGAAACAGTATGCATACACACTGTGATTCGATAAGAACTAATAAAGTTGAGAAATAAAAAGTAGACAATTTTAAAATTTATGATTCAAAGGAAGATGAAAAGTGAATGCACCTCTGTATCGTTGAAACCCGTTTTGAGTCATGTTGTCCAAAGTTTCCAACCATTGGTTGGGATAGTCATATAGACCATAACCAGTTAGTTCGGATTAACCTACATGACTTTATTTAAAGGTGGATGACTTTTTTGGATTAATATCATATTTTGGTTTGACCGTCTCTAAAGCATTCTTCAGACATACTCTTCTACATCAGCAAATACCGTGCATCGAGGTAGGCGGGTGATTAGTTATACATCATACAAATTCAGACCACTTCACTCGATAAAGATTCACTACCTGATCAACCGATCTTCCATATTTATCTTTAACTAGTACTATATATCTAGCCACAATATTAATGACTACATGAAGTCGCCATACGTAAATAAAATTTTTTCACAATTATCTATGGTAAAACACTGGTAACTTACAAATATCCTCTATCTTTAAAGATCACTTTTCACAGATATAACATGTAACAGAACGAGTTGGTAACAAACAATTTAGCCTAGTGATTACATAAACGACACATACACGTAGATGAAAGCACCAATTACATTGTATATATATCATTAAGTTAACTGCGTCACTGCGTACAATTTGATTATTGAACTTTCTTAGCAGGTAATATGACCCATTTAATTCACCGTTAATAATACACTTAAATCATTCCATTAATATGAAATGAGACTAATGTTTTTATCATGAATCAATATTACCGACATTCGGTCTATTGAAATAACTTAATTCAATTTATAATTGTATATTGTTATTATTGAATTATTATTCATGTATTTTCATAGTTGAAAACGTGAGTCAATTGAAGCTAGAACACCATGGAAAACCTGGAAACACTGGAAGGCCGTTTCGTCCTATTAGGAGACTCCTCAGCATCCACGAACCCGCTCTCGCAAGATTCGAACCCAGGACTTACCAGTCTCGAGCCGAAGCCCTTAACCGATAGGCCACTGAGCTGGCATCCAACGATGTTAATGTCTAACTTCAACTGATCAACGAAGTTGAACAACCGTTCACCAATTGTCTTCAGTGAGTTGATATCTCACAACAGACGTGGTTTGAACTCCAATGGTTATTGCTTCTCACTAGAACTCCTAGATTTACCTCTCGAAGTCAGTCACTAGTGAGCATGTGATGATTATTATCAGAAGGGGTTTTGTGGGGGTTAAATTGACTCACGCTTTCAACTATGAAAATACTAAATCTCCACAAAACCCCTTCTGATAATAATATTCATGTATTGCATATCTTTTCGAAAAAAAGGGTTTCTCTATGCCTATTGTTTACCATCATATTGATATGATAGTATTTTGACCTATTTTTTTCTATTTTTCATTTTGTTAATTACATATTTTTATAGTGAAGTGACCTAGTATGTTGGACTGATGTAAATATTTGTGCCAGGTTGACTGTGAAGTATGTGAGATAATTGTTCGTTAATTAAAAGATAAATATACTGAGTAGTAGTTCGATTTGTTTTACTTTATTGACGTGAAATGTGGTCTTCAAAAATAGAGGATATTTATAGGTTACTAGTATTCGACTATATGTGTCTTCTAATCATTGCTCATACATATTGGGACCATTGAAATCCTGAGGTTAGCTACACAAGTAAATATAGCAAATCGATTAACAAAATAATGAATTCTTATCGACTAAGTTGATTATGACATGTATTAAGTATATCCATTCACCAATTACCTCAAAAAATGACGATGGCTGGTGTAGGAGTAGATTGGAGTAGGTACAAACTACCTACCTACCTACTCTGGGATTCAGTCTAATAAATTCATCTCACTGTGCTAATGAGATATAACAACTTGAACTGATGTACATATATCCCAGGTTCTACATTGCGGTTGACTGATTGAAAATTATGTATATAAAGCATTTTTGAATAATTGTAACAACGAGTAAGCTAGAGAGATTGAAATATTGCTATTTAGATTGTTCATGAAATCTACATAGACGAGATATATATCTCTAACATGATATTTAAACATAATTCGCGAGAGATTTTGGGTTAGTTAGACTATCAACTGAATTGTAACCTGATCGATAGAATTCAATCAGCAATAAGTACTATCTAGGCATGATATTGATCACTAGTATTTAGTGACTCAACCAATTGTAAATAAATCAGTTGTACAGAAAGCCATTTGTTAATTAAACAGCCAAACAGTAATCTTTTTGATCACGGGCACTAAGTGGGCAGATATGAATCACACAAGGAGTATCAGCTTCTCCAAATATTTAGCTACTTCATGCTGATGATGAATGTTAACTGGCATGAACCAATGTCCAAAACCTGCTGTCGTTTGGTAAGCAAAGATGGATAGCGGCTGGCAGTGAAATGCAGGACGTGCGTTTCATCCTATTCGGGACTCGACAACTGGATATACCTGCATCTCAGAGTTGATGTTCAGTCTGGGACTCGAACCCAGTACCTTTCGCTTCAAACGCCATCGCATTATCCACTCGGCCACTGAGTCCTGATAGCCACTTCCTTGTGCAATGGGGTAAAGTTTAAATTCACTTGGTATTGTGGCCGAGTGGATAACGCGATGGCGTTTGAAGCGAAAGGTACTTGGTTGGAGTCCCAGACTGAACATCAACTCTGAGATGCAGGTACATCCAGCTGACGAGTCCCAAATAGGGCGAAACGCGCGTCCTGAATTCCACTGTTAGCCACTATCCATCTTTGCTAACCATGCTTGTGAACTAAGGCTATATCGAGGCAATACACACAGTATGCACATGTGCCAATTAGAGACCGACCAGTTGCAGTCCTAAAAATCAATGGGAAGATCCAAAAAAACAATACTAAGTGAATCTGCTGTCTTTTGCCTCTAATCAACTAACAGTCAAACAAAATATTCTTGAAATTAATTTCACTGACACTCTTGGCTATGCTATCGTCTTCAGATCGATAGAATATGATGAGCACACCGATGACTATAAACAAACATGAGATCAGTAACTACTACTACTACTAAGTGATTACACAGTAGTGTACATAACTACTTACTTTATGTTCACAGCCAGAACCATTGTAACTGTACAATGATAAACTATCTGCAGATGACTGAATTTGATTTACTTGAGGTGGAGGTATTTGACGTAAACCAAATGCCATTGACACGATAGCAGTCATATGAGTTTCAGGTCCAAATACATAAATTGGAATATCGATAGTACGGCCTTGATACGTTGACAAAAAAAGAATTAAAGTAAGAAAGTTTTTTTTTAGGAAAACATAAAATGCTAATTTCAAAATATAAAACAAATACTGAGAATAGTATTCAATGTGGTAAGTTGACGAGCTCTACTAGATTAAATATGGTACATATCAAATTTTAAAATAAGCCGATTACTGATTATTAAAATAAGTAGTTGTTATTACCAGCAAGTTGACAAAAACGTTCATTAAACAATGTGGTGGCAGTTTTCATGACTAGAAATTACGATAACTAGTCGACAATTTTAGCCTCCGAATGCCCTGGTACGATCGAGAGCAGGGAGAGCCGATCTTCCTCTTCGAATGCTCTCGTACAGCCGCGAATATATAGTCACTACCAGGGAAGTCCTACTCACTGCATTCTCGCAACTAGAGTGGCTTATGCGAAAAATGAGAGGATCAGAAGTGGACGTTGAGCAGTTAAACCGGGTTGGTGAATACAAAGGGACCACCTAATGGAGTTGGGAAACCCTGATTCACAACTAATGGTATATATGGACTCCAGAATCGCGTATGAACTCATTTCTGATCACTGGCTACCATAGGACCGCGTTTCCTAATGTCGCTCCATTGCGTTGTGAATTAGACCTCTAAGTCAATGGCTGAGGGAGTGGACAACTAGGGAAATTACCCGCTTCGTTTTGGGTACCCGGATAGTATTCTAGCCCACACACAAATTCAACGATTTGTGTGGCGTATATATATTCTGGTCAGCCTTTGAACCAATGTTTATATGCTTTACATAAATCCAAAAAGCAGTTTTTAACTTCCTTAATAATCAAATATAAATAAACTCATTCAGCGACTAGATCATGTTGAGAGCATCAATCCTCATCTGATTTCACACAATAGTTCATCGTGAAACGCATCTATTAAGAAAGTAGAGATTTACAAGTAGAATTGTAAATCAAGATTACACTGCCTGATTGTCACTTATTCCCTCAGTTATGTATTTATTAAGATCTGCAACGACAGTTAGGAAAAAAGATATACGATAACATAAAGCATTCACTAAAGAAGTACACACAAGTATTTCTCATAATAAAAATTTTTTATATAGTTGAGATCATGAGTCAATTGAAGCTAGACCACCATCGAAAACCTGGAAGCACTGGACGACCGTTTCGTCCTATTGTGGGACTCCTCAGCAGTGCGCGTCCACGATCCCGCCTTGCGAGATTCGAACTCAGGACCTAACGGTCTTTAACAAGTGGGATAAAATAAAAAGTCGAAACAAAGGTTATACTGCAGCTCCAAACGACAATGATGCAATATGTGGTTGTTTTTTAAGAGGATATTAGTGTATCCTTCAAGAGACACTACTCACTAAAGATGAGAGTTTTACGTTACAAGAATGAACTTTTAGCGGTCATTTTAAACATTTCAAGATTATTATTTTAAAAAAATTCCTATTTAGGGATAACTCTGTTTGAATTTTCAAGAAGAATTTTGTTACCCAATATCTATTTGAATGATCAAAACTGATATCGTGATAATTACTTATCTTTTATAACACATAATGTTGTGACTTGCGCTAACCCCCAACTGACTACTTGAGCGAGAACACAAGAGTGAGTGAGAAAGTGTATTGGACTACCGAATGAAATGTACAAATACTCGTTCATATATACACCACTCTATCCTTAGGAAATTGACCCATTTTGATCCCAATGAAATTCACTTGAACTTTGGGTCACTTTAGATTGACACTTTCATTAGACTACTTCTGACTGACTCTCCACATCACATGATAGTCATATAAATGATACTACTCAAATAAAAATTAACATTTAGTTAGACATTTAAATCATTTCATTAAATAAATTGGGTAACATAATCGGCCAACAGTAAATTGCTGGTAACTACGACTAACTAAAGCTTTCTGGTAAATATGTACACTAAAAACCTGTAAAAATAGATCTAAATTATCTTTAAGTTTAGTACAACTAAAAATAATAGTTTAGCTTTATCCTACCCAATTCACGCATTATACGAAGACCCTCCTGGTAGTTGGGACCAGCACGACGGACAAATATACGTATATTATGTCTCTTCAATTGTTCTCTGAATTCTGTTAAAGCACGCACAATACCCTTGAATGTAGCAGCAATATTGGTGAAATTTGCAATTCCTCCACCGATCAGTAAAACTTTACCTGGAACAGGTTAAGATTTTTAAAGGAATTTAGTAAATAAAACAGGAAAAGATTCTTGAAGTAGGTTCTAATGATGTTGCCCCCTAGAACTAATACACAGTCAATGTTAAGATTTTTGAAAACATGGTGTGAAAAATACAACAGAAACTTGAGGATTTAACTGAATCATGATGAAGAGAGTTTGTTACCTGTACAGAACGGTTAATCAATTAGTTAAAATTAACTCAAGGCTTAACACAAATATGTACTATCCAAAGATACTACAACTTTACTGTGACGCATTTATCAAGTAAACGTTAAAGTGTTCAACATTGAATCACACTGTTTGTATGATTGAGGGATATTGTAAAACACGACAATAGGCAAGAGGAAAGTTTACTAATTGCGAGAAGTTACAAAGTATTCACGTAGTACATATATAGCCTTCAATTCGCGATTTGCATCTTTAGGTGTGTACAGCAGTCAAGACCGCCGTCTCGTCTGGTCTCCATGTGTTATGAGAACACAGTGCTTTCGATATACTGAAACGCTTCGTTCCGTCTGACGGTTGTTGTAACTTTAATGCCACGTTCAGCTACACAATACTTACAAACAATCTTGTAAGCAGCGTCCACTACAATACTATTCGACTGCTCGGACCAAAAAATAAGTGGGATGGGATTCAGAACCATAATATTTTTACCACAGAATATTATATGCTTTAGAAATGTTTTCCGTGTAAACAAATGCAGAATTAATAATTGTGTATATTTGTAGTGGCGCAGAACGTGGTGGTTGATTGAATTATAATGACCTCGACATCTCATGGGAAGCACGGAATACAATGAAAAGCTTGGATGCAACGAGACGACTTGGACTTTGCAGATCACCTAGTCCTTCTATTCCATAAAAACCAACAAATGCAGGCCAAGACAGCCAGTGTAGCAGAAGATCCTGAATCAGTAGACCTCAACATACATAAGGGAAAAACCAAGATACTCAAATACAACATGCATAACACCAAATCAATCACACTCCATCGAGAAACTATGGAAGTGGTGGAAACTTCCACGTACCTAGTCACAATCATCCATCAACAAGGAAAATATGATGAAGATGTAAAGGCTAGGATTCAAAAAACAAGAACCTCATTCCTACAAGCAAAGAACATATGCAACTCAAAACAACTGTCTGTTAACCGAAATCAAGGTCACAATCTTCAATACTAACGTCAAGACAGTGTGTTCTGTTGTACCGAGCTCAAACTTACACAACTTTCACAACCATCATCAAAATAGTACAAGTATTTACGAACAATTGTCTACACAAGATACTCAATGTCCGTTGGCCGCACACAATCAGCAACAGCCTACTGTGCGGTGGGACAGAACAAACAAGATTTCAACTGAAGAGGAAATTACAAGACGCTGGAGGTGGATAGCACATGCATTGCATAAATAATCAAATTGCATCAAGAGGCAAGCGCTAACTTGCAATCCTGAAGGGAACGAAAAAGAGGAAGGCGAAATAACGCACTGCGCCAGGAATCGGAAGCAGACGTCGAAAGGATGAATAGAAACTGGAAACAACTGGAAAGGATTGTCTAAGATAGAGTTGGATGAAGAATGCTGGTGGGTGGCCTACACTCCTCCACGAGGGTTAAAAGGTGTAGGTAAGATACTTTAAGAGGTAAAACAATTGACATTTAACCCAATAGATCATACGTTCTAATCCTATACTACCAACTTTTGTCTTAGACAGTCGGGTATGATACATAGCCAAATAAACGAATTTTCATTAGGTTAATCAATTTAAATATCCTATACCTTTCGCTCCCTCTTCCTATAATCACATTTCAAATAAAAAGTCAAATCCAACAGAGAAAAACCATTGAAAATGCGAATCTTACCATCTGGATGTGGTTCACCAGTAGTCATCAATGTTAAAATTGTTTTTGAATATTCATAAGTTAATTCTTCTGATGGTGCTCCAGAATATTCACCATAATTAGCTAAATCTTTTACACCTTGACTTATACCGCCAGCTGCTTTGACTTTTTCAGCTAATTCACAAACTGTATCAGCATAAATCACTGAAGCTCCACCACCTGCACTCATTGTCCATATACGACCATTTGGATTAAGTATAGTAAGCTTTAATGAAGCACCTGTTCGAGCATCCAACTTTGCGATATACGCTTCCTAAATACAAAAAAATATCTGAAAATATAACTTTATTTTGATTGAAAGTATATAATTATTTATTAAGTATAGATTTATATAAATGGGTTCGAGTCATAATTAAATGTGACAGTTGGTATGATAATACTTGACTGATCTGATCAAAGTAGATAGAATGAGGTTGGAACACGAACTACTATGGATGGAAGCGGAACCTCTAAACCCTTAAGTCACCGTTACAAGTTATGTACGTTTGAGAAAGCAATTTAAGCGAATACGTATTTTTGGTATTTTCTCATTACCTTTTACCAATAAATATTTATGGATTTATCTGGCTGGACGCAGTTTACAGGGAAACCCTGTGGATTCAGATGTCATGGAGGTTATTTCTCTGAGGACTGAAAATACGGCTTCCAAACGAGTATCAAGTAGCATGAAAACAAGGATTGCTTTTGACTACATTTAACCAACCAACATTTAAAAACAGTCCGGGAGATGTCGAGTAATTTATATTAATGACAACATTGCGATTTGATTGGTAGAATTAGATCAACACAAAGTATTCAGTAAGTCAGTCAGTCAAAAGCTAGAAGAGGAGAGGTTTCGGGAAACATTAATTATTAAAATAATCAGAAAAAGTAATTTGATAAAAGTATGTAATTCCAAGTGAAGAGAATGGAATCTTTCATAATGACAAATAAAAATAATTTTTAGTATGAGGTTATGGAGACTTTTGTTTGCTTGAAATCATGAACCGACTTAAGTTAGACAATCAGTGAAAACCTGGAATCACTGGACAGTTTTCGGTCCTAGTATGGAACTCCTCAGCAGTAAGTATCCACCAACCCGCACACAGGAATTGAATCTGACACCTTCGGTATCACGCACGAACGCCTAACCTCCAGACCACTGAGCAGCTATCCAACAGAGTTAACATCTAGTCTCAATCGATCCACAATAGTGAGCAACCGCCTTCCATTGTCTTCTGTGGGTAATTGCCTTACAACCGACACGGATTAGCGCAATGTCGTTGATTGATTGAGGTTAGAAATTAAAACCGTTGGATGCCGGTTCAGTGATCTAACAAATAAGCGTTCGAGAGCGAGACCGAAGACCCTGAATCCGATTCTCACGGGCGGGATCGTAAGTGAGCGCTGCTGGGAAGTCCCATACTAGGACAAAACAGCCATCCAGTTATTTCAGGTCTTTAGTTGTTGTCTAACTTAAATCGGTTCATGATTTCAATGATAACAAAGTCTACAAACATTTGTGTACGCATTAATTACGGGTTATATATAGTACAAATTAAAGCCATGATAAAAAGAGTGAGATTTAATAAGCCACTTTTTGTATACATAACTCTTATTTGAAATTGTGGGCGGTTAAAGCCTATGAAATGTGAAAGTCAATGTATACTTTTCGGCAAGACTGGTTGAATAAACGAATAGTATAACAGTTAGGCTTGAATATTCTCCATATCAACGTCTCTAGAAATCAGCTAAGTCTACTGCATTGTTATTCTGAACTTTTAAAACTGACCAGTATCACTCCAGAATCATTTAAAACAAGAACAATGGGATACTATGCCAAAAAATAGTTTTTACATGTGAAATTTCCCTAGTTAAAATTTTAACCGCCACGACGCTTTCCATCTTGCATTATTCAGTCCACTGGTTAGTCTGAATTTAACAAATTAAAGGCTTAATTAACATTGTTGGAAGTTAGTTATAATAACGTAAATATCCTACTACAAAGAATCTATTTGTTTTTTAGAAAACTCAAATTATTTCTTTTTGCAAACAGTTAAGAAGGGAGTATAGAACAGCTAGAACCAGTTCAGCATTCTGTGGTGTTTCGCTTGCACATATACCTATATACAATGGTGCTTGTATAGTTAAAGGAACTGGATATTTGACCAAAATTCATTAAATCTCAGTTTAAACAGTTGGATAGAATCATTAAATCTGACATAATGTGAAGCCAATTACATGGTAGATGAATTATTAGCAACACCAGGAGTACAACCGTGTAAAACAAAAGTGGTGATATGGATGTGTTTGAAAATCAGTCAGTAAGTAAGTCATTCATAATCAACATACAGAGTCTGGTACAAATTTGCGTCAGTTTAGGTTGACATATTATATACGCACGAAAGTAATCATAATAATAATTATTATTATCATAATTACCTCTTTAGTTTCAGTTTTACCAAAACCAAAAGGAAATTCCAACATTTTTCCATTCACTGACCATTCCAAACTTGAAGTGAATAAATGTTCTGCACACTGATCTAATTTGGCAGCAACATCCAATATATGAATGTATAACTGTTCATTGATATCATTATCTACATCCTGTAGTTCATTATCGTTAATGATATGATAACTGCTACCATTACAATCATTAATTTTCTTTGCATTCATATTCCATTTACAAATAACTAATGGATTGATTTCTAAATAGGTGAAGTATAATTTGTCAAAAACTGCGTGCAATTCAACGATGAATTCAGCTAGCATCCTAATAATAAATATATTTGTTGTTCAGTTAGAATATACGTGAACATATATGAATTTTATTAAAACATTACATTGTTACAAGAAATGAATTCCTATTGACTTGACATGGTGGTTGAACATGACTATCGTGATGGCCCAGTCAAACTGTATATTAAATGTAACATTTGATACTTTAAGTTCTACTAAGCCAGTTAGATTGGTTAGAAAGAAGGTTAGATTATAAGCAACAAACTTAAGAACAAATGGAGAAGTTATATTACCAGTTATACTGGGGTGTGACGACAGTAATATTTTTCCCTCAAGAAACTTGAATCTGCAGAGATGCCTGCTTTTCACAAAGGACGGATAATTGGAAAATTCAAGCTCTAACAACACCATACGTCTTGCCCGCTGATTTCTGTTGCCGTCAGTAAAGCTATAAAAGTGAGGAATTACATCAAAAGCTACTCACAAAACGGTTATATTTGATTGGGTTCAAACAGTTGTCTTCTCGGTTCCATGACCGAAATTGCAGGTCATCACCCGTTTCCCTACCTAAGTCCTTCAATAAGAGGTATTCTTCCATATTGTGAGAGGCCGGGAATCGATAATTCCCCTGATGCCTGTACCAGAATCCAAGATAACCTTATATTTAAATTTCCCTTCTATATTTATTCAAAAGAACAATATTGTTTGCTGAGATTAGTTTAATTTATAAATATTCTTCTCAGCGTACTGATCTTAGTTAAGATAAAACTAAAAGGCCAGGAATCAGTGTTGTCAATATTCACACTGAGATTTGAACCCCATATTTAGCGATTCGAACGTAAACGAGTTATCCACTGAACTACTGAGTTTAGGTATCTCCCAACTGTTCAACAGGTTTGAAAGTGTAAGGGTTTGTAATTTCTAGCTGTCAATATTCAGGAGTGCAACTGATTACTCTCAGTTGCTATATGCCAATTCTAAGAGAATTGACTTCATATAATCTTTATGTTTGCTTTGGTAGAATATTAAATTGGGTCTGGTGTACAATTGACTCAGGTTTCAATAAGCTCCAAGACAGTGTTTTACTTTAGAAAATAAATATTCACTAAATCTTAGCAAACATTTGTTCATTGAAAATAAACAATCGAGTCGTCATATTTAACAAGGTAATCCCAACAAACCTTGCTCGCTTCGGACATTTTACTCCTGAAAGCAGTGAACTCTGTAATAATTGCTCGGCAGAACAACCAGCTTTCATTCCAGAATCAGATTTCATAATATTTTCAACCGAAACCTCAAAACGTTTAGCCTATAAAAGCAAGATATAGACGATAACTCAGTAAGAAATATGTGTTCGACAAAATTATTACCCAGAAATTCTCAAACACTTGGGTTTGTGAATATTTATCTTCCAGTGTAGCGGAAGCCTCTGAATCAGTAGACTTCAACATACATAAGGGAAAAACCAAGGTCCTCAACATGTAACAACATGTAGAACACTAAACCAATCACACTCCATCGAGAAACTATGGAAGTGGTGGAAACTTTCACGTACCTAGTCAGAATCATCCATCAACAAAGAAAATATGATGAGGACGTAAAGGCTAGGACTGATAAAACAAGAGACTCATTCATCAATACATAACAGTTCTTTCGCTGAAACAGTCAGCGATTCAGTATTATCTAGAGTGAAAGTACTTTATAGTGAAATACATAGTTTTTCAGATTTACAAAATTGGTACAATGATTCAACCAAAAATCAGACAAATCACAACTCCTCTATTAAACTGTTGGCTAAAAAACTGTCCAATTATTTAGAACTCAATTAATTTGGAAAATTGGTAATCAGCAATGTTCTGTGTCAAAATTCTTCCAACTAAAATGTCTTGTTAAAACAACTCCATTATTCAATCACAAAATGTCAGTAAGTTAGGAACAAAAATCGGAGCATAATAATATGCGTCTATTTGCTCCGTTGATTCTCTAATGATATTTACAAACGAGAAACAATAGTAATAATTTGAGAAAACGAGTTTACAAACTTTGTATGCAGTACCCAACTCCGAGTACATCTTATAGAAAGGAAGACTAAGAGAATATCTTTCAATGGTATGATCCCATATCATTTCCTCCACAGTGAATAAACAGTTGATATCACGAAATATTCAATGTACAAACATATCCTCATTTGGTGAATTTCTAGAGATATTTACATCAAACGATTTAAACCAAGTTTATTTATTAAAAAGTATGATACGGTCAACATTGCATTGTTGTAGCGGTTTCGACTGGGTAACATAGTATTTCATGCTTTTAGTTATATATACCCTTTCTTCATTCTCGAGTCTTATCTGAGCTCCATTAATTTTACCCTTATAATCAATTGTCATTGCAGTTGAGCATTAATTTTAAAATTCTACAAGCGTCTTCATAAGCTGCTGTTTTCTCTTATTGAATATTCATTAAAAAATAACCTATGGAAAATTAACCGTATAGACTATTCTTGGAACTTGTCCTCCATTTCTTGTATTTTTACTGGTCCCTCAATTTGGTCAAGTCTTCTTCCTATAAATGTGATGTAAAGTATTCACAATTATTTTCTAATACCAAATGCCCTGGTACGGCCGAGAGTGGGGAGAGTCACCTCTCCCTCTCGAAATACTCTCATATGGCCAGCGAATATATAGCCTCTGCCAGGGAAGTCCTACTCACTGCCTTCTCGTGGTGGGGGTGTTGTTTACGAAAGTGAGAGGACGAAAAGCGAATGTGGACATGGAGGGTTCACCTAGGGGAGTTGGAAAACCCTGATTCCAAACCAGTGGTGCACATGGGCTTCAGTATCCTTAGACAACAAATGGCGTACGAATCAACAGTTGATCACCTGCTACCATGGGACTGCATCTCCTCACGATGCTCCACTGCCTTGTGGATCAGACATTCAGATCAAAGGCTCCGGGTGTGGCCCCCTAAGAAAACCACCTGCTTCAGTCTGGGCACCTGAGCAGTATCACAGCCCTCACGCAAATCGAATGAGATTTGTGAGGCGCATATTTATCTGGTGCTTCCTTGTACCAATATTTATGTGTTTAAATAAATAAATAAATAAGCAGTAAAATAATTAAACTTATGCATCTGGATACATTTGTTCTCGTATTATTAAAGTTAACAGGGGAGAAAGGCTATAAAGAGGAAAAACTATGAAAGACATTTTTACAGAAGCTAACGACAATACTGTACGTACCTTGGAATCCACTTCACCCACATCTACTCCACCAGCATGATGAAAAAGAATAACATTTGAAGTCCTTTGAGTGTACATACACAGATAGTACTCTTCTTGCTATAAAAAAAATTTGTTTTTATCAAGTTCCATTTAAAGCAACAGAGCAAATAAACAATAAAAACTGTATAAATCTGATGAGCTGAATTACAAAATTGTTATTATTATTATGAATAGAACTTATTGGGATTTAGAAAATAAATGTAAACTCAGACACTAAGAATGTAAGCCAAATTTCACGAAAATTCATGGTAAAATGAAACATTAAAATTAGTCAATATATGCTCTGTATACTGACCTGGATGTCTAGATTATACAACTTTATGTGATAAAATTACTGCAAATTACCTGTTCATGTGGTACGAATGGTTCAATAAGGAAGCGGTCAAGAATTCCACAGGTAGAACCGATCTAAAGTAAAATGTAAAACAATACTTTGAAATTGAAAAAACTGAAACTTAAGATGTACAGGTAGTGACGGTCGACAAGCTGAATATTTGCTAGAACTCCTACTGATTCGATAATGCAGTCAAAGATCTTTAAGAGCGAAGCAAAACTTTGTGCTAACAATCCATTATACTAGTGTCTAAAGGGAAAATTATTTATGGTCGGTTGCAATGTGGGCTAAATGCCTGACTACAAATATTGTAAAACTAAAAGCTGATGATGATAACAGGGTTGTTCATGTTACTTTTGATGCCATACTGTTTCGAGATAATGTTAAATTTATACGAACAAATAGCGGTACAGCTGGACAGTCAGTCAGTCAGCTAAAACGTAGGACCAGGCACATATATGTCCGACCGTTGCTGCTACCTTGACGTGGTGGTCGGGCTTGCCTATCGTGATGAAGCAGTCGAGCTATGCTGGCTGAAACAATCGTTCCTCGAGGTCCTACCATGCCAGACAGGTCAGTTGAAGAGCGGTAAGACTAAAAGCAGCAATCCCAAGGTCCGAAGGCGAAGTCGTACTGCCGACTGTACAGAGGTGTGACGGCAGTAAGGTGTTTCCTTCAGACAACCAGCATGACAGCGATGCTGCCTTTCCACAAGGAGGGGTGGGGTTAGAAAAGGTCGGCCCTAAAAATGCACACCGCCTTATCCCACGGATTTCCGTCTCCGGCGGTAAGGTTTTTTTTTGAAGAACGGAGCTAACACAAAAACTACCCACAAAAAGGTCGTGTGTGACCGACTTCAAGCAGTTGTCCCTTGGGCACTGCGGTCACGCTCTCAGGTCATTAAGACCACTCCTGACCCAATTTCCTTTTCAGGTACCCCTAGAAGAACCCTTCCACGGTGTGGGCAACCGGGAAGTGATAACTGCCCTCATACCTCTAACAGCACTCAAGACCACTGGTACAGATGGACACCAAAATACATATGCGCCATACTAATAAAATGATATTGTCGAAATACAGAGGAAGGATTACGATCAAAACCAGACAAATGAACAAAAACAAGTGAGCGAGAGTAGTATCGAATTGAAGAAGCAAATACAGTGAAAAAGAGCCAGAGTGAATTCTTCTAGTTACGTCGAACTACGAAAAATGTACGAACTTACAAAAGGATCCTCACTAGCTCCTATTCCGAGCAGTTTGATAACGTTTCAAGCCAGAGACGCACCAGCTCTATGACCTCAGTCAAAGAATCGTGATGGGCCGACAGATGTGTCAATACATTTTTCCTACACACCAGGGCTACGTGCCATAAATTCGACTAGGAGGACTGATTTAGTCGAGTTGAGAAATATTGATTTCAAATCAATGGTGTGCAAGAGCTTTAAAAGCCTGAGGACGAGTGGTGTAATAACCTTTCATCTTTGATTACCGACCACCGTGGAAGTGCGTCACCTGACGTTACCCCGTTACCTTAAGGATTAGATATTACACCTATGGCAATCTTTCAGAGGACCTAATACTCATTACGGTAGTAATACAACAACTTATAAATAAAACGTAAATGGTGATATAAAACAAACCCAATAAATGTAAACATTGTATAAAAGGAATGTCCTTAATATCTGGAACGGCTTGACTCTGCAACTTACTACAAAACGGATAGGAATAACGCCAACGAAAAAGGAGACAAAAATAACAATGGATGCTGTTGTTCAGAATTTTCGCGACTCTGAATAAAACGATGCTTTCGGAAATCTCATGTAATATCAAAAATACGGTTTTGTCAATAATACCAAGTTTTAAAGCAACAAAACCTGAATAACTAACGACAACACTTTTCAAACAGAAGTGTGAGCCACACTTAAGTAGGCCGTACTCAACAAGTTTCCCAGGCAGTTCTACTAGTCACACAAATGAACTAAAAGTCAAAAGAAAGCCCTATGAACAGAATGGAAGCCAACTATTAACTTGATTTTAAAATCACCCCAGGCTTAACCTTACTACAGCAAATGCAAAAACCAGAACCAACAACGTATCAGGTGATAATCTCAAATGTACTTTAAATTATGTTTCAATCCCATAAAAAGTATATTTTTCCGTAATGTGAAGTAACAACTAAATGTAATTACCGTGAATTTACTCGCCAACAAACTTTCAATTTTTTTCTGCAAATCCGCCCAATTAAAGCCTGCGAAAACTAGTCCCAATTTTCCCCTGCGTTTTATGAGGACATCGGGCTTACTGACAAGGTTCTACATAATATGTTAGCAAATGCTAAAAATCTTCCTTACGTTGTGTAATATCCATTCATCTGTTACTGAACTAACATCTTCACCCAGCTTAACTACTCGGAGTGGATTTTTCGCTAACTTAGAGTAGCATATTGAGTTGTATATAAGTAGCTTAGCAGACTCTTCGTAAACAGCCTTCGAAGACATTTGCTTTAAAGTACCAAGCTGATATTGTACATTCTTTTACTTCCGTAAAACAAAACATTGAGTCACGATTTGTAGTTCTAGTGTGAGCTTAATAGGTTGACCTAACCTTTTACAAGTACACTATCTTCTTACCCAATTTATTTGAAGCTAGCTAGCAGATTACTTCAGTCTTCAGTAATAAGGATAGTAGGTTGATGAACCTGTGTTAATCCTGACAGATTGCCTTCCAGTGAAAGTTCAGCTTCTTCTTGAAAATGTTCACTGATGGTGCTGATACCACTTGTTCTGGTAATGCGTTCCAGTCATTGACCACTAGATGAGAAAAACGGGACCCAACCTTTAGTTTTGTGAACCTTCTTGATTTGACATCGGAGATTATTAGTGCTGAAGGGAGCAAAAAGATAAGACGTATTAACACTCAAACCATAATTAAAGATGCGAACTGCCAGTATGAGGTCACCTCGCGTCCTACGATAAGGCTTAGACTGTAGCTGTAAATAGTTCCCCAAAATCAATAGCTCATTAAGTGTTCGACATTGGATGCTGACCACATTGTTTTAAGTGGACTTGTTTGACTGGAGGCGTTCGGTCATGCATCCGCACCAGATCACAGACACACTTCCTACGTTCATTAGCCAGATTAGAGCAAACGCTTCTTAATATACTGATAACGTATCAAATATATCTTTCCTACCTCTTCGCATCTGACTTCGGGTTTTATCTAATTGGGAACGCTTCGAATATAGAATGTGTTACTGGTTGCTAGTTGTAGAATTAGAATACCAGTCGTATCTTCAAGACGTTTCAAACGCTCATCGTAAGGGAGTTTAGAAAGACCCTTCCCTTATTTTGTCTCTACACGCTGGACACGCTCAAGTGATTGAGTATCCTTTATCAGACATAGGCTAGCTGCTTGGATACAGTACTGTAAGTGTGGCCTTACACAGGTGGAATATAAAATCCGAAACATCTCCTCGTCAAAGCATTTAAATGCTCGGCGAAGTGACCATATTACACGATAACCTTTGGAAACAGCCGCGTTGCAGTGCGTAGAAGTTTTCAAGTCGTGACTCCTAAGTCTTTCTATTTTCGAACGCGTGGACGAGATGTACCATTAATGGTATAATGGTAACTATTGCCGTGCCCGATGTGCATGAGCAAGCTCCTCCTGGAATTAACTTCCAAGCCCCGATCATGGTCCCATCTAACTAATTCGTCTGTCAGCTTGGAGATGACAACTATCAGCCTCACTTTTTATTGTTCTCCCGATTTTGACATCATCCGCAAACAATAATGTCGACGACTTAAGTAATAGAGGTAATTCATTAACATACGGAAGGAAAAGTAAAGGGCCTAATATGGTGCCTTGGGGTAAACCACCTTTGACCGGCTTCCATTCCGATAGCTTGCCAATGACCCTCACTGTCTGTCTGCGGTCACATAAGATGCTTCCTATCCATTCCTGTATAGCACCTGTTATTCCAAAGCTCGAGAGCTTCTGCATAAGACCGTAGTGTGAAACCTTGTCAAACGCTTTGCTAAAATCTATGAACATCACTACGACAGAAAGGCCGTTATCTAGGGCTGCTGTCCAATCCTCTTTCGCAATAAGTTAGTTAAGCATGAACGTTTGTTACGAAACCCATGTTGCTCTGCAGTTAACAGATTATATGAATCTATGTGACTCAGTAACTCAGCCTGAATTATCTTTTCAAGTAACTTAACGACTATGCTGGTCAGGCTGACAGGCCGGTAAATAGATACGATCCGTCTCTGACTATCCTTAAATATAGGACTAACTATAGCGTCTTTCCAGTCTCTCGGTAATTGAGCGAGTGAAATGGACATGTTGAAGAGCGTCGCTAGCGGTCTTGAAATAATGTCCGCAACCGATGACAGCGAACGTGGGTGTAACCCACCGGGGTCCGGTATCTTACAAGGTTTAAGGTTAGTTATCAATGGAAGAACGATTTCCTCGGCCACGTGTATAGATCCTATGGCTTGTATCTCGTTGTAAATGGGACAAGTAGTTGTAACACTACACATAGAGTATACTTCACTGAAACAGTTTGCAAATGTTTCAGCTTTTGCTGGATCAGATTCAGCTAGCAAATCTGAATTTTCATTTAGCAGTAACACAGGGATACCATCACTACGTTTTGTCAGCATTTTAACGTATGAATACAGTCGCTTCAGACAGGTACGACTATCGTATGCCAACTGTCGTTCGTAAGTGGTACGGGATTTAGCTATGGTTTTTTTTTACTTGTATTTCAGATTTTTTATATTCGCACTTAAATGATGCCTGTCCTGCTGACGAGAATAAATTACAGAAATGTTTCATACTCTTTAACAACTGCTGGGTCTCCTTATTAATCCATGGAGGGCAATGTGATAGCTTACGTGTTGACCATGGGATATACGGTTGAGTGACGTATTCGAACGTAGCCTTAAACCTATTCCATGCATCTTCAATCGATCCATCAGCATCGGCAGACCAGTTAATCGAGATAGCACAGTCTCTGATTGCCGTAATATTAGCAGATGCAAATTCTATACCATGTATCCGGGACTTACAGGAAAGTATGACGTGGTCGCTACTCACTAGCGGGGGAAGGTGCTGAATGTGGACGACATCTTCACAGTGGTGTGTAAGGACAAGGTCTATCAATGACGGATCATGTTCCAAGTCAATATTTTTCGGTTTTACAACACACCGTACAAGTGCACACTGAATAATTGTTGATAGAAGGTCGCTATCGAAACCCCCTGCTGAAGCTGCGAGTTCTATCCAGTTTGTATGGGGTGCGTTGAAGTTCCCAACCATGAGACAACATTCTGCCTTACTTCACGAACAGACATGTCTTAGGATAAAGTCGTCAGCAAGACAACACGGACTACGATATATTCCTCCTATTGTCACTAACCCGTTTCTAGACCTAATTGTACAACATACTACCTCACACGTAACACCAACATGCACCCCCGATATTATTGATTGTATGCGAAAGCAGTCCCTAACATATAACGTTATGTCTCCTCCCTTGCGACTTATAACTCTATCACTTCTGATACAGATGTAACCTGAAATGATGAGAGAACAGTCTATATCTACAGTGAGCCAAGTTTCGATGACAACAATTCTGTCGAGATTGAATTCGTCCACCATCAAACTTAGCGCGGACATTTTATTTCGAAGACTACGAGCATTCGTGTAGCGTACATTTAAGGTGTTTTTGGAAATATACGTTCCACCCATACAGGTCTTGGGAGCATTGGCTTCCAAGACCTGACTTCCCGAAAACCCTTAATCGTAAGATTAGTTTCGCCGTTTAGCTTTCGAGTTCTTAACTCTGTAAGGGCATTCTTCCACATGATTCGATTCTCAAGTGGCCAGTCTGGTCGAATACGAATATTTGAATCACGAGTTTTGTGTGTGTTATTCAATATTACGTCTCTTTCCTCGAAATTCCCGAGTACTAACTTTAAGATCTTTCTTTGTTGGGTCTCGCCTCCAACATATTAACCGAGTCTGATTACTTTCGTGATATGTACCCCTGAAAACTCTTCGGTTAGTACATTTCTGACGACAGATCTCACTAACTGCCGGTCGTGTGCATGTCTCTTGACAGGGTCGTTGTCTTTCGACTTTTCTAGATTCCAAATGATTACACTAGGGACTTGCTTAACTTCTTTAAAAGTTGTGTTCACGGCTTTCGACAATGATGACAGATCCTTTGTGTTAACTGCTTGCTTCTTACTGTTAGCTTTCCTCGTAACAGTGTCGTGTGAGACGATTATGTTAATGGTTCTCGTTCGATTGCTTTTGTGCAAGGCATATATGCTTTAGATATCTCGTGGTTATTGTACAACTCTCTACAATTCGAACTAGCCCTATGGATTAATATGTAGAGCCAGTGTAATGTCACTGAACCTATACAAATCATTCAGCAGTCAGGTCACCGATTACCGAACGGTTTATCGATCACTATCAACGCCAAGGACAACCAACGCACACAAGTGAATTCCATGCCATGGAATGGCTAATTAGGTGGTGGTTGCACTCGTTTTTTGTACCAACTCTTACTAAGATATTTTTGTAATAACATCATTCGTGTTGTGCAGCAATCAATGTAGCCATGGTAAGTGGATACGACGAAAGAGTTATCCACGTTATGTACTAACCATCAAGTGTGAACTCGACGTTAGCTGTCTGATCACGCTCTTAAGGTAAGAGACATTTCACCATATTGATCCCCCCGTTGAATTTGTTTATGCATATCTGCCCTATATTTGAAACACGGACTCTCTAAATAAACCCATAATGCAAACGAGCATCAAAAACGTTGAGTATATCACCCTAAACATTCCTTCATCAGAATGAATAAATGGCCTACGGAGAGCCTAGAAGACCTAAAAGCATGTGAGAAAGATCCACCAATAATTTTATTGATTCAATCAGCAAAGTAAAGCTTGACCATCAAACAGGTAATTCAAAAAACAAAATACTGTCTAATTTTGTCGAGGGGGTTGAGGTGTTGAACCATTGATCTTGTTTGGTTTAGCTAACATCCTGTCTTCCAGAGGCAACGCCTCCACACTCCTCTCATTCACCATTGTATTGTACCTGGGATTTGCAGTTAGTGGTTGTATTTCAGAATCAGTGAGGATATCCAGCGAAAATATAAATCTTTAATACTAATATCGTTGTTAATGTAGTTGTCACTGACATCGTGCCAATATTGTTCTACCAACGAACGAACTTGACGTAATTGTTGGGTAAACCTATCTCCGCATCACTGTTGAAGATAGTCAGTAACATTGCACTTCGCTCTCTATTATGATGTTGATATTCGCGCCGCGAAATGTTTCTTTACTCCCAGTAGAATATCATTTTGAATACTCCTGAACTGACTGTCAGCCTTGTTTCTGAATTGAATAGTAGCTGAACCTAGTAGTCCTCCGAACGCAATAGTTTTTATCAGCTCTCTTACAAGTTGTGACTTTTAAGTGCCGTGGTTTTTACTTGG